CTTACTTCAAAGAGGAAAAACTGCAGTAATTCACATTTGCATTTGAAATTGAAAGACATTTGTTTATTGTCTGTTCATAATGATAAGAATAAACCCATATTCAAATAAAAACAACTCTCAAAAACAATAGAATTTTCATCATTTCAGACATAGAGCCATGACTTTCACACTAGCGTCTGGGTTGCCAGTCTTAACCTTAAAGTAAAATATGCTTGTGTTTTCCACGTTGTGTCCTTCTGGCACTGTTAGCTAATACTATGGAATAAATTTCAATACCACATACATTGTGGGTTATATTTTGTTATTTTTATAGTGTTTTGAAAGCAGAAGGCCAAAATGATAAACACTGGTTATAAGTCCTATTACTGTATATGTGAAGTCACAATAAGATAAGAAGATGAGGTGGGCTTGGTGACTCAGCCTGTAATCCTGCACCTTTGGGAGGCTGAGGTGAGTGGATTGCCTGAGCCCGCGGGTTCGAGACCCGCCTGGGCAGGAGAGACCTCATCTCTACAATAAATCAAAAAATTAGCCGGGCGTGGTAGCGCGCACCTGTAATTCTGGCTACTTGGAAGGCTGAGGCCCAAGGATCTCCAGAGCCCAGCAGGTCGAGGCTGCAGTGACCGGGAGCGGCCACTGCACTCCAGTCTGGGCGACAGAGTGAGACTCCAACTCAAAAAAAAAAAAGAAGAAGATGACTAACCACTACTCCCACTTTAGAGACACATCACCTACCTCATTCCCTAATTGGAAATAAACAATTTAATGTTAAAGTATCAGCTTCATTATCTGCCACTATGATACAATGCACAATTTACCTCATTTTTATAATTTCAATATTGGTTTTTAAACTTTCCTAAAATGCATTACATAAATTAAATTGTGTCTGCATAACTTTAAGGCACATGTTCCTTTGCTGCAGTGGGTTTCGTCTAATGTTACCAGCTGTGAGACATCATTGTTCATATCCTTGGGTTTTAATAGTGTAGATATGCAATTCTGACCTGGTTGCTAGAAATGCTTGTCAGTGTGTAAAGAGAGGCACTTCATAAACAACATACATTCTTAGACGCCATAGCCACATAGCTGGTGCTTTTAAATTTTGAGGCGTTAATGAATAAAATTCTAAAACTTATGGCAAGAGTTAAGTCTTATTTTAGATTTTATTTGTGCACCTAAGATCTATATTAGATATGGGACCAGGAAATGATTTCCTCTCTCACCATTTAAAAAAAATTTTTCTTTTATTTTAAAGATGTGGGGTACAATTCAGGGTTAGGTATATAAATGTTCGTCATGCAGGCACTCTTGTTGATGAGGTGTGCCCCCTCTCCCCTGGCAGATTTTCTCAACTGCCAATCCCATCCCCTCTCCCCTGGCAGTTTCCCACTACTGCCAATCCCTTTCTCATAGTATTATGATAACTGTTCAAGGTCCATTTATGAGTAAGAACATATGGTACTCTGTTCTTCGGTTCTGTGATAGACCACAGAGTATAATGGACTCTAAATCCATCCAAGTTGCTGGGAAATCCATATGTTTGTTCTTCTTTATGGCTGCATAATATTCCATTGTGTATATGCATCATATTTTTTTAATCCAGTCCAGCTTCGATGGGCAGCATGGTTGGTTCCATGTTTTTGCTATTGTGAATAGAGCTACGGCAAACATGTGTGCGCAGATATCTTTTTGCAGAATGATTTGAGTTCCTCTGGGTATATTCTCTATAAGCGGATTGCAGGGTCATATGGAAGGTCAATTTCTAGTTTTTCCAGAAATCACCACATTGTCCTCCAAAGAGGTGGTACTAGTTTGAATTCCCCACAGCAGTGTAGAAGCATTCCTTTTTCTTCGCATTCTCGCCAGTATCTGTTGTTGTTTGTTTTGTTAATGATTGCCATTCTTATTGGGGTTTGGTGATATCTCAACGTGATTTTGATTTGCACTTCTCTGATGATTAGTGAGGCTGAGAAATTTCTCACGTGTCTGTTGGCTGCCTGTATATCTTCTTTTGAGAAGTATCTACTCGTGTCTTTTGCCCACATTTTAATGGGGCTGTTTGTTTTTTTCTTTTTGGCGCATTTGAGTTCCTTGTAGATCCTAGATGTTAGACCTTTGTCAGATATACAGTTGGCAAATATTTTTTTCCCACTCTTTGGTCTGTTTCCCTGCTCTTCTCATGGTTCCCTTTGTTTTGCAAACGTTGGTCAGTTTGATAAGGTCCCACTTGTCTATCTTATTTCTCATGGTATGGGTACTTAGGGTTTTGATCAGGAATTGGTTGACAGTTCCAATTTCCAATAGAGTGTCTCCTGCATTTTCTAAGATTCTTATAGTTTCTAAGATTCTTATAGTTTCTAAGATTCTTATGTTTAGCTCTTTGATTCATTTAGAGTTAATTTTTGTGTATGGTGATAGGTAGGGATCCTGGTTCAATCTTCTGCATGTGATCAGACAGTTTACCAAGCACCATTTACTGAATAGGTTCTCCTCTCCCCAGTGGTTGTTGTTGTAGGTTTTGTCAAATATAAGTTGGTTGGGAAATTGAGGCTTTGCTTCTGGAATCTCTATCCCATCCCATTGGTCTACACGCCTGTTCTTGTACCAATAACAGGCTGTTTTGATTACTGTAGCCTGTTAGTAAAGTTTGAAGTCTGGAAGTGTGATACCTCCTACCTTGTTTCTTTTGCTAAGGTTTGTTTTGTCAATTCGTTGTTGTCATTTTTTTCCGACATAATACTGGAAGTCCTGGCGAATGCACTAGGCAAGAAAGTAAAAAATAGGGTAAACACATTGGGAAGGAAAAAGTCAGTCTTTGCAGATGATATTAATGTCTATGTAAAAAATCTGAAAAAACTGACAAAATGCTTCTAGAAATAATAACTGATTATAGCAAGTTTGTATGATATAAGGTTAATATACACAAGTCATTTGCTCTTGCATTACTATATACCAGCAATTAACAATTAAAATTGGAAATAAAAAACATTTACATGAGGGCCAAAAAAGAGAAATACTTATATGTAAATATTTCAAAATACATGCAAAATCTATATGAGCAAATCTGAAAACTCTGATGAAAGAAATCAAAGAAAAACTAAATATATAAAGATTTATTCCGTGTTTATAAGTAGGAAGTCTCAATATTGTGAAACTGTCAGTTGATCTCCAGTTGGACTATAGATTCAAAGCAATCCCAGCCAATATCCCAGAGATTACTTTGAGCATAACGACAAATTGATTCTAAAGTTTATATGTAGACGTAAAATTCCAGTATAGTCAATGCAACATTGAAAATAACAAAGTAGGGGACTGATCCTACCCAACTCCAGAGCTTAGGATAAAGCTACAATAATTAAGGCAATTTGGTAATCGTGAAATACAGTCAAATAGATCCATTAGACAATTAGAGAGCCAACAAATGGTCCCACACAAATAGAGCCATCATATCTTGATTAAATAAGCTGACAGTTCAATTCAGTGATCGTCTTTCAAGAAATTGTGTTGGAATAACAGAAAACCTCCTTGCAAAAAATGAATCTATATACAGCCATGTCATAGACATCAACTCAAAATTGATCATAAACTCAAAGATAAAACAAAAATATCAAATCTTTTGAATATGGCATAGGAAAACTTCTAGATAACCTTGGGTTTGGCAATGAGCTTTTAGATACAACACCAAAGGCACTCAGTCCATGAAAGAAATAATTAAGTTGAACTTCGTTAAAACTAAAAATGTCTGCTCTCTGAAGTACATTGTTAAGAGAATGAAATGGCAAGCACAGGCAACAGAAAATCTTTGTGTAACAGACATCTGATAAATGACTGATATCCAAAATTCACAAAGAACTCTTAAAACTCATTACAAAAACCATTAAAAAAAACTCAATTTTTAAAATGGAAAAAAATGCCTGAACAGATATCTTACCAAAGAAGATATAGAGCTGGCAATCAAGCATATGGGAAGATATCTGACATCATATATCATTAGGGTATTGTAAATTAAAACAACAATGAGATAGTACTATACACATATTAAAATGGATAAAATCCCAAACCCTGACAACAGCCAATTCAAATGAGGAAGTAGAGTAGCAAGAACTGTCATTCACATTAGAGTCACTTTGGAAGAAAGTTTGGCAGTTTTTACGAAGTCTTAGTGTAAGAACTACAAATTATGCGTCTTGATATTTACCCAAATGAGTTGAAAACGTATGTTCACACAAAATTTGAGCACAAGTATTCATAGCAGTTCTATTCATAATTACAAAAACGAGCGTGCCCTTTAACAGGTGAATGGATGAACAAAGTCTGATACATTCATATAATGGAATGTCATTCACCAATTTTAAAAAATGAGGTAATAAGACATGAAACACTGAACCTCCAATACATATTAATAAGTGAACAATACCATTCTGAAAAGGTTACATACACATATGATTCCAACTATATGCCACGCCGGAAAAAAACCAAAACTATAGAGATAATAGAAAGATCAGTCGTAGTTGTTGGCAGGGGTTGGGAAGACGGATGGGTGGATAGGCCGGGCACAGAGATGTTGAGGGTGGTGAAACTACTCTGTGTGATACAATATGGTAGACCTGTCACATTAAGCATGTTTCAAAACCCATAGAACTGCACAACACAAAGAGCAAAGATCATGTGAATTATGGGCTTTCGTTAATAATCAATAATCAATATTCGTTCATCAAGTTTAACAAATGTACCGCATTATTGCAAGATGCTAATGATAGAGAAAACAGTTGGAGCAGGGAAGCAGGGGATATGTTGGAATTCTTGGTACCTTCTATTTAATTTTTCTGAAAACCTAAAACTCTTCTAGAAAATAGAGTCTGTTAATTTATTTTTTTTTTAAAGTCTGTGTTGGAGAAGTAGCTGCATTATTATCTCTTGTAATTAATTAATATGTGTAAATTTATGAAAATGAAACTATTAATGTCATTTATCATAATCACTTTTCTTTTCTTAACCAGCCAGAATTTATACATACATGCTAGAGAAATCCAGACTTGTTTCACAACCTCCTGGCCAGAGCAATTTTCTCATTTTCTACTTGTTGATGGATGGGCTGTCTGCTGAAGAAAAATATGAACTTCACCTTAATAATTTACATGCACACCGGTGAGTGACTAAGTATTTTCTGTCTAAAACCACTGCCTTCGAATTGTGATTGCAGCTTAGCCTTAAGTTGTCTTCTTACTTTTCAAGCACAAAATGATAAGTAAAGGGGAATTGCTGGCTCCTGTTAGGTGGGTTAGCACGATCCATATAACAGGATTACAGCTGTTTGCGGAATGTTTAGGTGAAGTTGTATAAGTGTATGGATGAAGTTGTGTTGCCAGTTTTCTAGTTTTCAGATCAGAATAAAAAAGATACATATATAAACCCCTCTATTCTTTTTTAAGTATGTTGTATACAGTATTCGTTATGCATTCCTAACCTCTGACTCTCTTTTGAAGTAGTTGGAAGTATTATTAAGTATTATTCATTAGAATCAGATGGGCTAACAGAATGGATTAAGATTCACAATGTGCATAAACTGAGGGGCTGATTTTCTTTCCTGGGGCAGGAAGCATTTTTGTTAATATTAGGATGTCTTGGTCACAGGAGGAGGATGTAAACAAAAGGCCACAGAGATGAACTGAAGGTGGTTTTCCCAATGTGCACACTTCAGCCGACTGCCTGAGTGCATCTCCCCACAGGGATGGGTCCAGATTTGGATTAGGATGAGAAGTGGAAACAGTCCAGGAAGGAAACCCCATTCGGAAGAGAAGTTGGTGGGAGAAGGGAGTAGGAGAGAACTAGATCCCAAACCAAACACACTGAAGGATTTGGGTGGCAGAGGATGGGGGAGCTAGACTCCAAAAGAGACTCTGAAGTACTTCAGATATCCGCTAATGTCTAATTTGCAGTTTATTAGGTTTTTGTCATTGCATCTGGAAGAATGGTGTGAGTTTGCTTAATTTTGAGAGAACTTTTGACCAGGCTCGGTGGCTCAGCCTGTCATCCCAGCACTTTGGGAGGCCGAGGTGAGTGGATTGCCTGAACTGGCAGGTTCGGGACCAGCCTGGGCAGCTTGGTGAGACCTCGTCTCTACAATAAATAAAAAATTAGCTGGGCATAGTAGCACACACCTGTATTTCTGGCTACTTGGAAGGCTGAGGTGGAAGGATCGCTGGAGTTCAGCAGATCGACACTGTGTTGACCGTTAGCATGCCACTGCATTCCAGCCTGGGTGACAAAGACTCCAACTCAAAAAAAAAGAGTACTTTTGTGAGAAAAAATAAAGGATGTTATAGGAGAGGGCACACACGCTCATACACACACACACTCACACAAATATACATGGGAGGGATGCCTCACTAATGTGTGTATAGCCAAGATAGTGGCTTAGACCAAAGTGATGGTTAAGAAAACAGATGATTGGGTGCTTTCTTAATGAGCAAACCCTCTTAAAAATGCACATGGGTTTACTTTAAGCCTATAAAAAAAATACTATCTCCAGTTCCTCTCTATTTTGGTATATTATTTCTTCATCTTAATCTATTATGGTCTGGTCAGGGAGTTTTTCATCAACAGGTTAATAGTAGTCAAGGTGACATGATGAAAAATGAACCAAGATTGGGGTGCAGAGGTGGAGGGGGGTGTCCACTTTAGATGTGTTAGTTGGGAGGCTCTTTCAGGTGGAACTGATGTGCAGACACCCAAGAAGGCCATGCAGACTCTGGGGAGAGTGTCCAAAGCAGATGGAAAATGTATAGGGGTCTCATAAAATGCACATGGTGTTTGGAGACCATCACAAAAGGCAGCAGGTGGGATTAGTGTTACACAAACAAGCAGGAGGATTACAGGGACAACGTGGAAAGGATAGTCAAGGTCAGAAATTTGGATTTCATTCTGAGTTGACTGGCAGTGATTGGGGATTCTTAGTACAGTGGGATTTGGTTTTCACTCTGAAGGTGAGGCTACATCTTTGGAGATGTCACTGTGGTGATGCTAGCTGGAAGCAGAGAGCTAAGTACCTGGAATGGTGATTGGGAGGTGGTCATGGCACAGGTAGGAAGAAGTGTTGCAGGCAGTGAGAAACGGGAGGATTTGGGTCAGTTCTGAAGGTAAGAAGGTCAGGATCTGTGGATGGAATGAACTGGACAGGTGGTATGAGGTAAAGAGGTGGCCTGAGCAACTCCTGGTGTCATTTCCAGTGTGACAAGACTAGGAATGAACCAGGGTGCTTGGGGAGAAGAAGTCAGAGGAACAGGTGTGCTGCTTTTGACAGGTCAAGTTCATTTAACCAGGACGTGGAGGTATCAGGTGGGAGCTGGAGAGATAAGAAATTTTCCAGGTGACGTGGCTGATGTCAGGCTGAAATCTGAAGATCAGTTGAAGAAGTAACAGAACAGAACATCTGTCCCACTGCTGCTAGGAGGTGTGAATTATGGTGGGATGGGGTCAGGGGAAGAGAATGAATTGGCCGAAGCCTAATTCATCATTGCATTACTAATCGCTATCATTAAATTTCACCGAAAATATTACTTCCAGGGCTATAGACCTAGTTTGTCATGTTGAGTAAGGGGGAGGTAGTCAAGAAGTTAAAAAGGCCTGTTAGAGTTGTGTTTAATTCAAGAAAGAAAGACTATTTGCAGGTTTACTGTTCCCAAAATACAACCGAAATTTAGAAGACAAAGGAAACATATATTAAAGTATGATAGGGCAACCCCTCGTGTCCCTTCCCACTGTGGGAATTTTCCTGTTCTCTTAATAAATCCTACTTTTTTTAAAAAAAAAGTGTGATAGTCCAGGCAAAAATTTTAAGAACACAGATATTCTAGACTTCTAGAACATTAGAAATATATATATACATATATATATATTTAAAGCAAATATCCTCATATAATAAAAGAGAAAATGAAAGCTAGAGACATGAAGAAGCTTGTGCTGAAATGAATCTATTATGCAACAGCAGAATTGGCCAAAACCCATTATCTGAGATTAACTTTTAATTTTTTCTCATTGAACATCTCTAATTGAGCATGTTGTTCCTGAGATGGGAGGTATCAGATTAGATACCAGGGATTGCATGTTGAGGGTGAGGTAACCAGTGAGGAAGGAAGTGCTTTGGGTATCTCTGCTCCTGATCTTTCTAACTGGCAAAAGCTCAAATCATGAGGACAGACACATGATTCAGAGAGTGACTTTGTGTGTGTCCGTGTATGTGCATGCCATGTGGACTTGGCTTTGTAGACATAGGGCCACTGAAGAATAAGAAGCAATAATCTAATATACCATTCGCAGAAACAATGTAACTTGTTGATTTGTGGTTTGGATGAGACATTTGAAGTGTGTGGGGGAGAACAAGGATTTCTTTATTGAGCTTCAATTCTGACACTCTTTTCTCTTTGCAAAAAAAGAGTTTGGAACCACATGGGGGATTTAGGAAGTCAAACAGGCAGGGGTGAGTTTATGAGAGACTCCAACAGGAAAGAACTCAGGGAAATCATGAATAATTCAGTTCTTGTGAACAGAGCAGTTTTTTTATTAAAATGTATTATAAATATCTAATGGGTGGAAAACAACATTTTCCAGTGAAAACATACACCACCACTCCAGATTCATAAAGATGTCAATAGACACATTTGTACAATGGCAAGTCCACAAAAAATATATTCCTCTAATAATAAAACAAGTTTTTTTTGCAAGTTATGGCACTTTGTATATCACAGTGTTTTGTGATTTATGGTTTGTGGGTCTTCTCACATTTTTATTACTGGCAAATCTTCTCACTTTTACAATATTGACGACATTTGAAGAGCTCATGTTGGTTTTGTATTTGAATTTGGGTTGTGATCTAATCATTGTTTAGTTACTACAGATATTAGCTTTCATAATTTTGGAAGTTGCCTGGCTTATTTACCAATAAGAAATATAAATCTATATCTGCTAGTTTTCTAACCTTTGACAAACTGATGATCCTTCTGAGTGTCTCCCTTGAAATGCATACTTGTAGACAAACAATATTGGTATTTTTAATGTTTAATACCTTGCTAGTACACTAATTTAGCAAGAATGCCCAATATATGATATGTATATCTGCATATATATAATGCATATATAATGTTAATGATACTATTATCATCACATCCACTTATCCGATTTTCATTAAAATATGTTGATCTTTGTATTATTAAATAGATCTTTGTATTATTAAAATCTGTTGATCTTTGTATTATTAAATTGTATTATTAAATGGTAATGTATTCAGCTTATACATTCCCATCTGAGCACCATATCTTTGCTGATTCTCTCACAACACAATGCAGCTTAGAGGAAAATTTTGATGAAATACATTGAGTACAAAAATCACATGACTGCTTCTCTTGTTTGTTCATAACAACTAATTATTTACATGAAACAAAATAAAATATGCATGCAACAGTAACTAAACTGAAGGCATACTCAATATTTATCATATCTTATGTAATTAGATTCCCCCAAAGAAAAATTGCAGCTATTACTTTTATAATTAAAGCTACAAAAAATTTTTTTTTAATTTGATTCTATTTTTGGAAATAAAAGTTTTCAAAGTATCACATGAAAACTTCAGGGAGATTATTTCAGCGTTAAAATGGATGTAAAAATGCCTTACTGTTTGCAACATGGGAATAATAGCTAGAAAAAGCAGATAACACTTTTGCCTAACTATAGAATATGAATGGTACAGATATATACAGATATAGACATCAACTCCTATAGCTTAATGGCAGGAGAGCAGTATTTATAACACAAGCGTCTTCCAACACAGATTGTTAGAACAGCAACAAGAAAAAAGTATCTAGTTTTCTAATATTTTGGGTTGTGGTGATAAGTCTCAATGTATCTCAATGTCCACCAGATGGCAAGCTCTCCACGAAGTCATTTAAGCAAAACCAAAAAAAGAAAAAGGAAAAACCCACAAGAACAAATGCTCATCCCCCAAAACAACCTTTTTTCCTTATGGTTTTTCCTATCCTTTACTATTTTTTTCCCCTAGCTGTTTGTTTTACAAGTGCTATTTTTTTTTTTTTTCATTTTTGTATGTGATACAAACATTACATCTAGGGAATACATGTAATTTATGTTTTTGG